TAAACACACGGAGCTACAGATTTAAACAGCAAGACTTGATGTTAGTGTCTTATCGATCCTTCACCCCCTCCTCCTGATGAAAAAGTCAGATGAATGTAACATGAGCGTTCACACTGCAGTCACTTTGAAAACATCAGATATGTATCAGATTTAAAACCACATACTGAAACAGCCTGGGTTGGATTTGAAAAAATTGGATTTGTCTCGTTCAGACTGTCATAAAAAAATTGGATATGAGTCAGATGGGTCAAAAAAATCGGATTTGGGTCGGATTTGCCTGCAGTGTGGACGTAGCCTAAGAGAAGGCTGCATTAATGATGAATCACCCTCTTAAAGTAGCATCTAACTTCCTGGTCACACCCCTGGAGGCGGTACCTTTTACGTCAAACATTCGAATGTAACCCAACTTTGTTTATACAGACAGAGAGGCCTCATATTGATAAGACACACTGACTCTATTCCTCTGCTTAAACTATATGTTAGCAGTGATGACAAAGTGTAAAATACTGGATCTTAGATTCAGTTAGTCACAAAATTTCCTTCAGGGACACTGTCAGAATCAGAAAACACATTTCCATCCTGTCTCCTGCTCTTTTCTCTGCTTCCACTGAAACTCTAAACTGACAGAAACGGTTCAGTTTGTAGCTTTGATCCTTTCAGCTGAGAGAAAGTTTAGTTTTCTCCTGTTTATCCACCCACATTAGCCTGGCCCTTGCCTTCCTATGTAGTTCCGCTCAATTCTAGTTTCCCTTCACTGCTCCGTCTGGGATTGCTCCGGTTGAATTTCAACTGGGCCAGTCAGTTGGCATCAGAGGAAGTGAATGAAGCCAGTCCATGTTGACAAGTCTTCCAAACTAAATTAAATTGGTCTCATTAAGCCTGCAGCTCTCATTTACAGCCGTCTCATTCAGCTTGGTGCTTCTCTCTCCCCAGTAGGAGATGGTTGTTTACATCGCATGCAATTTCTGGTTAGCTTCTTAGCTTAGCTTCCTTCACGGACGAGCTGGTGCGCTACATACGTCACAGCCAAACATTTAGCGATTGGGTAAAATCAGATCCAATTGTTTTTAACTTCAATAGTCCACGCCTCCAGCAAGTAATGGTTTATCAACAGCCGAGGGTCTAGACCAGGGGCTCTTAACCTTATTGACCTCGGGGCCCAATTTGTTGAACATAAAGTGACACGAGGCCCAGTCACACATTACCAATATATGGATCAAAATGATAATTATTCTAAATCTTGGTTTAATTTTTATTGTATTTACATCATAACTAAACTATCATAACTAACATTAACTAAATTACACTTACTGTTTAAAAGTAAAACTCCTGTCAAATAATCAGTAGACATGATTATGACAAACATTTTTTTATATTGTAACCTGCCCATAACAATTATTTGAACMAATACAAAGGTCAGTCAACAGACCAGTCAGGCTTATCAACACAAAAATATATATTTTTTAACATAAACAATAACAAAAATAGACAATTCAAAAAATAAAATTGTGGGCATAAAATAAATAAATTAAAATGTTTTATGTTTCAAATAAAAAAAACCTGGAAAAATAAATTTGATAAAGTACAAATGAAAATAAAGCCTTTTTAAACTTTTGCAACCAGAAGCTGCTCTTCATATTAGTGACAAACAATAACAGTAACAACAGCTTTTAGACAAGTTTAAAATTTCTTTAAAATACATTCAAAATTTTTAAAAATAAACTACAAAAAAACTTTAAAGTGCAAATTAAAATATATTTGTATCTACAACGGCATTTGATAATGTTTTGAACTTTTAAAATATTGCATGTTAAAAACAGAAGTTGCACTAGTGATAAACTCTGGTGATTTTTGACGAGTTACTTTCATTTTTGTCTTCTACTTTTCATTTAAAACATATTTCCATTCTCGACAGGTTTCTAAGGTTCTTCTTCTACATAATAAAAAAGTTGTTAAACAACTGAGTGGCGCACTACTGCCACTAGTGGTGAGAAAGTGTATTGCAACTTATTCAAAATCAATGCGGTCCCGCGGCCCTCTGCGGCCCAAAGTTAAAAGCTGTTGTTCTTTTGAGGCCCTCAAGGTGGTGTTCACGGCCCACAATTGGGCCGCGGCCCATGGGTTAAGAACCCCTGGTCTAGACCCTCTGTCTGAAGCAAAGTGAAGAACAAGGATCTGGTTTTTACCAGGCTACCCACGTCCACACTGTGAGCCCAAAAAATCTGCTTCTGTGCAACTTAAGAAGCTTTAAATGTTTATTTATTTAGCTTCAATGTAGAACTTTTGTGTGACAAATGTCCAGCTGTGATCCCTTTGATCATTTTCCAGTAGTACATCAGTTTGATGTCTAACAACAGGTGGTTAGGGTTTTCAGTGCTACCTTGTCAGACAGCAGCAGGCCACACTGGCTCCTCTCCAGCAGCAGTCTTGCGATGTGAGTGTGGCCTCTCTCAGAGGCGAACATGAGGGCCGTTGTTCCCTGGTTGTCCTGTATGTTAGCATCTGCTCCACAGCTCAGCAACAGACGGACCATAACAACCCGACCGTGCCTCACTGCCAAGTGTAAAGCTGTTTGTCCCGTCTGTGGACACACAGACAGAGAGAAACATGTCCGTCGCTTCTCAAGACTTACCTTCTGCAGACACTTTTCTTTGAACCTGTGAAGGGTTTCATACATCCGGTTGCTCTGACTGTGTTACCTGAGTGGAGCGAACGTTAACGTCTCCCAGCTCCATTAGCTTTCGGACCACCTCCATCCCACCAGGACCATCAGGAGCAGTCAGGGAGGCCAGCATCACCGCCGTGTAGCCGGCGTTGTTCTGAACGTTCATGTCAGTCACACCTGAGCAGACAGGATGATTCTAAAGTCGATCATTGACTTTCACGACAGGCTGCGAAGAAGAAACTGGTACCTGTGTCCAGCAGCAGGCTGACGATGCTGTAGTTACAGTTTGACACGCTGTAATGCAGCACCGTGTTGCCGTTGTCATCTGCCAGGTTGACAAGGAAGGCCAGCAGGGACGGTGCCAGTCTTCTTACTTCTTTCAGGTACGCAGCCACCCTGCAGGCGTCAGACGACTCCTCTGCTGCAGCTCGGAACCAGTGTTCAAACAACGTAACCAGAGCTTTCCTCTGCGAAGCAGTGAAAACAGCCGACTCATGATTCAGTCAACGTGTTTAAGTTTAACTCATGGTGAAGTCATATTTAAGGCTGGCACACTGTAAATGTCACAGGATGCAATGTTATCGTTTGTATTTTTTTGTTCCACTGTCAGCATTAAAAAACTGGTCTGTAAGGTTTGTTGATGCAGCAGGATTATATTATCCAACAGAGATATGAGTCCAACTAAAGAAGGAAATGAACCCTGGCATAGCCTGTCCCACTGAACGACCACAAACTGTTGATTCAAGTTGACAACGAAAGTTTTTCTAACAATTTTGCCACAATTTAATAGTTTTTCCAGATGAAAATGGCGCAGTGTACACTCAGCGTTAAAGAAGCTAGCATTAGCTGTTTGACACTTTTCCATCTTTACCAATGAGCACACAATCATCTGTAGGGTCCACCTTCATTAATAATGACTATGACAAGGCTAAAATCTTTGTTTTATAAACACAACAGTCCTGCATCCAAATTTCTCAGAGGATTAGTGTACGACCCACAGGCCCAACTCTCCTGCATTTCTTAAAAACCCCTCTTCACAAAACCTGTGCTTTTAAGAAACCCCAGGAGAACATCTGCTGATCTGATCAGGAGCAAAGATGTTGACTGAATCCCCTTTGAGCCACCTAAATCAAACCACTAGACTTTTTGTCTCCATAGCCCCTCTTAAAAGTGGTACTTTCTGATCAATTCACATTCTGGGACCCAAACTTCTCAATGAAACCCCTCAATGACAGTTTCTTGTCAAGAAAGATCATAAAAAAATCCTTTCTCTGTTTGAATTTGTTTGCATGAAAAATAAACTTTCTTTGTATGAATATTGTCTGTTTTAATTGACAAAAGAATTGGGCAGTGGTGGGCACAGTACCCATGGGCTGCGGCCCAAGGGCCTCAAAAGAACAACAGCTTTTAATTTTGGGCCGCAGCGGGCCGTGGGAGCACATTAATTTTAAATAAGGTGCGATACACTTTCTCACCACTAGTAGCGGCAGTGCACCACTCAGATGTTTAATAACGTTTTTAATATGTAGAATAAGAAACTTAGATACATGCTGAGAATAGAAGCCTATTTTAAATGTAGAAGGCAAAAATGAAGGTAACCCATCAAAAAATGCCAAAGTTTTTCACTCATGAATTGCAGCTTCTGGTTTTATCATGCAATATTCCAAAAAGTTTAAAACATTATCAAATACATAACAGATACAGCTATGTTTTAATTTGCACTTATCAAATTAATTATTTTTTAAACATTTTGAATGTATTTTAAAGAAACTTTAAACTTGTCAAAAAGCTGTTGTTACTGTTATTGTTTGTCACTAATATGAAGAGCAGCTTCTGGTTCTACCATGCAAAAGTTTAAAAAGGCCTTATTTTTATTTGCACTTTATCAAATTTATTTTAACATTTTTTTTTATTATTGAACATTTTGAATGTATTTATTTTATGGCCACAATCTTATTTATTGACTTGTCTATTTTTGCTATTGTTTATGTTTAAAAGTATATTTTTGTGTTGATAAGCCTGAGTGGTCTGTTGACTGTTATGGGCAGGTTACAACACAAAAAAAATGTTTGTCATAATCTTGTCTTGTGATTATTTGACAGGAGTTTTACTTTTAAACTGTACGTGTATTTAGTTTAGTTATAATGCAAATACAATACAAATTAAACCAAGATTTAGAATAATTATCATTTTGATGATGATTTGGTAATGTCTGACTGGGCCTCGTATCACTTTATATTCAACAAATTGCGCCCCGAGGTCAAAAAGATTAAGAATCCCTGCCATAAAGCACTAATAGGGGAACTAATTTCCTGATTTGTGCTTTAGGGCTTTTGCTAGTTTTAAAATTTATTAATGGATTAGCACTTGCTAAATTTATACACTAAATTTAGAAGCACTAACTGAGGGTTTTAAATGTTACTGATCAACGTTAATGTTAACAGCTGAGGACTAAAACTGTCACACATTTTGTTCATGCAGTATGTGTGTCACTGATCCACCAGGCGACAATATATGAACCCAAATACAGCTGAGGAATGTCAATGATAAGTCTTAAGAGAGCAACATGATGACAACATGGGGCTCATGTTGTCTGATGAAGAATGTTCATGGGGTGATTGGGTTATTTTAGTGCTTTAGAATTAGCTTCTGCTAAAATTTTAAGTGTGTTAGTGCTTTAGAATTAGGGGACCTAAATTTTTGAGTTAGTGTTTTAGGGCTACTGGAACAAATTTTTAGATTAGTGCTGCCCACCACTGGAAATGGGATTAACAGTGTGTTTACTTTCAGATCCAAGATGAGACCTAAGGTCAACTAAGTATTTATCTTTAATATTTAATCATGTCAAACTTTCCTTTTTAAACTTTATGTGCTGACCAGTTCATGTTTGATGTTTTACCCCGAGACGTGTTTTATTTCACGATTGAACAGCTGTTTCTTTATCCAAGGAATGTTTTTCTTAATTACATAGATTTGTAGCAAATTAGAAAACTTTAGGACGCTTGATATTTAATGATTATACATTTGACAACTTTTCTTTGATAAAATAAGCTTACTATTATAGCTACTAGTTAAAATGAAATAACTAAACCCAAGTTCTGTATTTTTGTCTCAAAGAATTCTTAATATCCACTAAAGGTGTTTTTATATTATGGTTTCGATTTTCTTATTTTATTTCTTTTGGGCCAAAAAGGATCATTAAAATTAAATCCCTCCTCCAGTTAATATGCAAAAGACCAATTTTCTTTGAGTAAAGAAAGACAAAACCCTGCTTGCCCATTGGGTAAAGGCCTTTAAAGTCGCCGCCTCTCTGTGACATAGAGTCCTGTGGATGGATAGACTAACTTAAGAACTCCGCCTCCTGGAAACTTTAAGACCTAGAAGAACTTTAAGACCCTCTTGTCCTACTCTTGGCTCTTAACTCTTCTGGTCCTCCTCCCTCGTGCGTGATGGGCATTGCCCCTCCCATGACTCCCCATTTAGCTGCATCCTGGCTTTCAGCCACCTCTTCTTTCTTCGATTTGATAGTCAAGTAATGTTAATTGTAACTCAACGCTATATTTAAATCTGTTTTGCTTGAAGTGATGATTATGACCATCCAGAACTCCGGAGTACCCTGAGTGGAGACACTGTCTCCCCGACCCTGATAAGCCACAGCGCTAGCGCCCTGACTGACGAAGCGCTCTGGAGCACCACTCTTCAGCTGCCTCTGCCCGGAAGCTGGTGCCCTGGCTTGGTACCAAGCTCTCAGCAGGACAGAAACTGGTGAAGTCAAGAAAATGTTTACTGGTGACAGAATGGTGCTCTGAGTAAAGTTGATCCCATCTTTTAAAGGGTCAATATTATGTGTTTCTCAGGCATACGGTATATTTAAATACTGTACCATAATAAAGTATCTATGTCACCCTTAGTTATTAAAATGCTGTTTTTATGTTTAAATAGAAAATAAACTTATCTTCTCATCACTTCCTCTTCTAAATGCCTTGAAACTGGCCTCTGTCTTTTTAAGAACCACCTTCCGCTTCTGTCGTGCCCATTTCGGTGCGGGGGGG